TCAGCGTCCTAAATACAACCGAGTGAGTGGTAAAACTTGACACTCCTACTGTAACAGTTCAGGAATTGCAACATGAGTCCGTAGAGACCGATTACCAAAAGGGCCTACGCCGCAAAATATAAAGGATGTCCAATCGTTCCTAGGGTTAGTAGGTTATTATAGACGATTCATTCATGATTTCTGAAAACCTGCTGACCCTTTAACACAGTTGCTAAGAAAAAATGGTCGCCAGCTACTGTAACGGTGTAGCTACGTTAAATGGCCTCGAGAGGACCTCGAATATTTACTTTAACTCGAAATGGCACGGCTAGTGGGGGAGAGGTGAGGGATCTCAGGGAAGAAGGTTCCCGAACGCAAATGGCTTCTTACGATATTACCTCGGTTTTGCACGCGACAAAGGCCGGGTGTTGGAAAAAGGAGGATTACGGAGGATTGCTAGGAAGGGACGCAAAAATACTAAAACGAGGACGCGCCCAATATACCGCTGGCCTCAAGCTTTTTGCGAAAGGCCAGGCTAAAATTCAAAAACACTAAACTTGATATAATCCAGAAGGGATTTCCTAAATAAAAGAAAGGCGCAAAAGAAAAGATGGTAGGGAAGAGATGGCAAATGGAACTCAATCGCATAAGAAGTACTAGCTAGAAAATCCGCAAGACGCGATACAATAATTCCAGAAAAGCACTCTCACACTTATTCTCGCACACTCTAAATTTGCTGGACCGCTGGGCTGAGAGGGCTACACGCTTCGGCATTGGTCAGCAGTTCGGGCATGGCAGGGCATTGGTCTTTTCTCTTGCCACAGTCCAGGCGGACCTTCCAAGGCCTCGCAGACGGGTGGCACGGCGCTAGCTGTCACGCACCGGACAACATGGCGGCCTCCAGGCCTGTCAAAATTCCGCCCAGGCACGTCCGCGGAGATGGAGGGAGTGGGCTTAACCGCTGTCACATAGGCCTCTTTGCTACCCGTGTGAGGCGACTGCACCGGGGCTGCACTTCCATGTGGTCGGGATAGCTGGGTGAACGGATATCAGTCTGACGTAGCTCGATCAGCTGTTCTTCCTGCCCATGCCTTCCCTGCCTTCCGCTGCCTAGGCAACATAGCAACTCTCTCGAACCTTCCTGGGATAGCTGTTGTCCTTGTAGAGGGTCTACGGTGACGGTCTTCGTTGGTTCCGAACCAGTACCCTAAGGGGGAGTGGACAGGTAGAGAAAGGTGGTGGGAAGGGATCTTAAGCCAGATACAATGGGCCTAAAACAGTGAATATACGCAATAAATGGCAGCACATAACAGTATACGCAATAATAATGCTGAAGGCCAGTGGTGCCCTCGAGCCAGGAGGCGGGAAGTAGTCTATAGTAACATTTTTGTTACAGTGTTAATAAGAAAAAAAAACAATAATCATTCCGTTTTTGGCGTCTCTTTTCATAACTTACAGTGGCATTGTGTCGTGAAAATCCGCTTTGTTTCTATAAGTAAACTCGAAAATTGTTACTTTATAAATTAGTGTTAGTTATGTTACTGTTGACAAACACATTTAGACATATTTCACACCCTTATAAATATATCATATGGTAGATTTGTTGTACTAGTCTGAGGTATTACTTTTCCTTTTATTAAATGGATACTATAATGAATTACCTCTTGAATCAATGTTAAATGGTTACTTTTAAAAAGTTTATGTCCTGCAACAAAAATTTATTTTAATAAATCCAGTCTTTATTTTTTTGCTAACCTTAAATTTGTTATAAAAAAACTTAAATACTTGTAAAATCAGATGTTATGCTAAAGTAAAAAACATGCTTCTCATAAAATACAATTATTTTTATGTATTTGAATAACTTTGGAAAGTCATTTCCTACGAAAGAAGTCGGTTTCCATGTCCTGAACTCCGCATTTTATATTAATGCTAATTTTTATAGCATCGGCAATGAATTATACTACCGTAAATAATAAAAAATAAATATATATATTTCTCTGCATTTATCCCGTGTCAAATCTGTAAGTTGGACGTCTAAGTTGCGCAGTCATCCATCCTTGAAGCGGTGCGGCAGTCGCGCATCGGGGCTACCGAACTAACGTATACCTATTGGTTTGTTCTGCTAGCGCAAGCAACATCAATTCCAATGGCGTTCAGGCAGCTACTGTCTCTGGCATATGACGATTCTGAACATTGATTTTCTGGCAAATAACAGCAATCTTGTAGCTTTATGCAATTGAGAGATACAATCATACTCGTAGTACTGACAGTGAATTTTAAAACGTACCCATAATGGAAAAGTATTATTCATTTCAATCTGTATATGTATCTTTAACCTAACGAAATAGTTGTAAGAATATATTAAATTTTGGAGTGTCGTGAAAATAACTAATTTTATCTATTATACGGATTACTTAGAAATAGCAAACATTGTAGAATACTTACGATCGTGTGATAAATTACAAGAGATGTTAAAAATAATGCATGCGATATCACTATTAGATAGCTGTTTTTTTTTTAATAATAAAACTCTAAATGATTTGAATTAGAGTTCCTTAAAAACCAAAGAATGTCATTTCGTAATTAACTTCTGTTTTGTCAAACAACTCTTAATTTACACCATTTTGCGTCTTTAGTCTGAAACTGAAAATATTCTGTTGTATTTTTTTTTTATATAAAAACATCGAAGCCAAAAGAAAATATTATCGAGCATTTTTACAGCACCACAGATTCCAGGTAACCCCACATGTTGACCAGTGCAGCTATTCGACTAGATTTAAAAATATTCTGCTCATCCAGATGCTTTGTTATTTGTACTCTTGTTTTTCTTAAGTTTCAGTGATTACGTTTTTAGCAATTACAATCGTTCACGAAAGAAGGCAGAAATTAACCACTTTTTAACATACTACTTTCTATACAAGACAGCTGCTAACAAGGAAACCTTGGTGTCCGCCTCCGATTTTTTTCGTTTTCACATATGTTGTAGTACTCGAAAAACTAAGCGACACGTGTTTTTTCTCATCGGCCCAAACTGAATTTTTGGAGATGAAAACCACCCCCGAAAATTGGGGTACCCATTTAATTATTTCACATATAAAAGTGGTATCTTTCACAATGAAACTAATTGGAATATTTTCTCACAATGAGATATCAAAAATGTGGTTTTCTCAAATTTGTCAAAAAATGTTTATGGGGGTGAACCACCCCAAAATTATTTTTCCTTATACAAAACCACCATAAGTGCAGTTCACTTTTGGTATGTTTCCGTAGAATAAAGGCACTTATATTACATAAATTTACATTATCAGAAGTACGCGTTACATTAGGAAAATGTGAATTACCAAAGAATTATTTTAACAAATAGATTCGTAAAAGCAAGCAAGCATTATCAGACTTCATTTTATATGGTATTTATATTCATTGTATATGGTACAGTAATCTTCGAAGAAATGTTTAAAATACTAGGATTTTTGCACCACGAACATCTAACAACGACTACATTTTCACATCCTTGAACTACATACAACGTGTTGGAAAATGTCTTGAAGGAAAAATCTATTGGATTCTCAAATTCTTTTGGTTTTTCTGTGGCGTACCCACTTTTAAATCAGGAGTATTTAAAAAGATTGTGATACCTTGATGATGATAATTTATTATATACTAAAGACTGTAACTTTATTATATTATTACGCATGTGCAGATTCATGTCATAGTTTAAGAGTATAACAGAATCAGAGAAATGTCGCACATAATTCTTCCAAATACGAAATCCGTAGACATCAAGGGGCTGAACTTTTCCAGTCGTGCCTTTTGGTATAATCATGGGAATAATATTCTTCCCAGCAGTTACTGTTTGCCGTACAACTTCTGGACAGTGTCCAGTCCAAGAGTCAATGAGTAACATACTTGTCGGCCCTACGTTCAGAGAGAAAACGTGCTCCAGCCAGCTTCAAAAATGTTCTACGGGCAAAATTATTCATATGTTAAAATTAATAACCGGAATAAATATGTGTAATTTCTTCAAAGAGCATCATTACTGTACCACAGACAATGAATAATAAAGTTTGATAATGCTTGCTGGTCTTATAAATCTATTTGTTAAAATAATTCCTTGGTAATTCACATTTTCCTAATGTAACGCGTACTTCTGATATTGTAAATTGATGTAATATAAGTTCGTTTATTCTATGGAAACATATCAATTTTGGAATGGTTCGCCTCCATAAACATTTGAAGAAATTTTTCCAGTTGATCTCGTTCGCAAAAACTATTTTATTTAAGAGATACATAATAAAATGCATTTAGGGGTGGTTACCCCCTATAAAATGACTTTTCACAAAAATACAAAAACACGTAAACTTTATTTAATTGTCGCGAGCAACATATATTTTTCCAAATTTTTTAACTCGAATTTACTCCTGGTTGGCAATTTTTTATATAATGAAAAACAGTTTTGGGGTAATTTACCGCCCTAAAACTTGTTGGACAAATTTGAGAAATCACATTTTTGATCTCTCATTGTGAGGAAATTTGTCCAATTAGTTTCATTGTGAAAGATACCGCTTTTATATGTGAAATAATTAAATGGGTGTTTAGTACCCCAATTTTCGGAGGTGGTTTCACCTCCAAAGATTCAGTTTGGGCCGAAAAGAAAAATACGTGTCGCCTAGTTTTTCGAGTACTACAACATATGTGAAAACGAAAAAAATCGGAGGCGAACTCCTACCAAGGTTTCCTTGTAAGTTGTAATATATAATTACAGATTTCCTTCGACTTAAAATGCATGAAACATTATTATATCACTTTTATTTTTCATCGTCTATTTAGGTGATGAAAAATGCTAGTTATAATATCATGAGACCTATAAATGTGTAGAATATTTTCAAGTATTCGGTAGTAGATTTTCCGTCTTAAAAAGCAAAGTAGAAATAGAGAATTCGAAATAATGTATGTAAATGACATATACGTGTATAATGACGAAGATTATGATTGCAATATAACTTATGTAATTCTGTGACCAGACTCGTTAGGAAATGCAGAGGTCTATATTGTGCTGGCATTGCTGATCGGCTTCGTCACAGTCGTAATTGGTTGCTGGCTTTCGGACAACTGTTGGTCACCGGAACCAGAAGGCGTTGTAACCCTCGCATAGCCAAGTGCCGACTTCCGGGCATCCAGGCGATAACAACTACCCCACCGCCCCCTACACGCCATCCTTCAGAACGCCAATCACATCGACGAGCGAGCTACGACTAATCAACAACCACTCCTCGACTTCAATGACAACGACACGTTCCTGCAACTCTACTGATTCTGCTCAATCAATGAGAAATCATTATGAGAAAATTTCTTACGTTACTCTAAAGACGCACTACAATTATTACCAGTTTTATTCAAATTTAACCAGTTTGAATTCTAGTCTGTCCCCAGCGGCACGTTCCTATTGGTCGATCGGTCAGTAACATCATTAACTGTTTTAACACGAAATGTACAGTCTTGGACAGTTTTTCTTTTTTCCGTAATTCTTTCGCGGAATTTTGCTTCGATTATAACTCTCAAGAGTATTGTGCATTGCTGAAACCTAAAGAGATGCACTCTAATATCACGCAATACTCGTAAAAGTAAATGAGAGAATTTAACGAATACGCCTATTTCGGAGCGATTTTAAGTTACGCAAATCACTGAGTGTACGTGTAGGTTCAGTTTATTGGTAGATTAATCGGTGCTGAAAAGTTCTACAGCGCCGTTTCATTGATGTCAAATTAGAACTAACAGATCATTGCATGTAACATTCCGTTTGCTAGGCGACATCGATTAATGCACAGAGTGCCATAATTTTATTCGAAAAAATTCGGCACTATCAAAGTGCTCTAAATTGTTTGCTATATTAGATTTTAAATTTTCCTTCGAGTTCTCTCAATTATGACACCTTTGGTTATCTACTAATAGATTTCTGATAATTATCATAGTTATAAACGTATCACATGTATACTATTACTTCAGTTTAATACAGGTTCAACCATGGTGTCCATGTGGATCGAGCTTAACAATAGTTTATCTAAGTTATAAGTGTAATGTAAGGGTATCGTATTGTACGAATTATACCGACAAATGAAGTGCACGAATTTGAAAGGGGGCGAGGAATATTATCAGTGTTACAGGAATGAAACTAGCATGATCTAAAATACACAATATGGCGTTTGAGGAGCGCAATGCTATTCATTGCTTGAACAGACCGGAAGTTGGCAGCAGAATATAACTTAAACGTACACGGGACGATCAATAATTATAAGATGGGTTTAACTGGTAGGTATATCCCACATATGTAGAAGTACTTGTCAAACCATGGGATCGGATAAACTTTCATTACACGAAATTGACAAAGAGAGATCGAATGATAATATAAAGACGGTCAATATATTCGATGATCATCAGTCATCATTTTATGATACTGATTGATTTAATTGAATAACCCATTTTTACCGTACCTTTTATTAGACAATAGTTTAATTGAAAATATATTTTTCAAAATGTATTTATATGTGGGGCTAATGTTTTACTATATTTCAAAACTATGATTGCTTCAAACATCGCGATAATTGTAATGAAAGTATCTTCTTCCAGAAAACAAAACTTTGATAGAAGTAGGGTATTTTAATTTATATTAATTTATCGCGCAAACGCAGTGCATGTATATTTTTGCAAGTAATATTGTTCTTTACGCGACAATTTGTTTACGAATTAATTTAAAAATAAAATGTAAGTTGCATGCTATTTTTGGATGTGTAACATACGTATGTAAAAATTACGCATACATCGTACACTTTTAATCTTTAATTTTTCCTGACAAAAGTCCCCTCTTCGTCATCATAAAACATACACAAATATGCATTCACTCCAGTTGAATAAAAACATAATCCATCAAGTACGTGTAATTTACGGTTCTCGAAATTGGAGTTTCAAGATGGCCTTTGAAACTTCTCAATCCTTTTAATATTGTTTGATCATTACCGTGTGTATGTACTGTGATGTTATATTTCTATATGTCACGCCACAAAGATAGGCCGTTTATCTCGAAGGTTTCGAGACGGTAGCAAGGCGCTCGCACTGGCAACTGTCACTCCAGAGTCACAAATATTGTTTCATATTATATTATTCTTATAATTATCTATTTGTTCTATCTTATTTATGTACCAACGTTCATAAAACGTATAGCGCTATTTGATGAAAAAATCTGGATGACGACTCATAATCGCAAGTGAAAAGATCCAGGAAAAGGCAGGATAGTGTAACAGTATCTTGTCATTCAACCTTTTAACGCTCAATTTTAACGACGAAATAGTCACGTGACTGGAAATAACGTTACGGATATTTTATGTTCATAAAAAGGGTATAGCAATGAATTTTTATTCCTATCTTACTCCAAAACTCCAGTCTATTCTAAGCAGTGCTAATAGTTGTTCCAAAAGTGGAGATAAATCTCAGTATCAGTAAAAAAGAAGAAGAATTTACTGGTGGTGTTCAAGTGATTTCAAGCTTGTACAAGTATAATGTCATCTGCGAATAAATATTATGCCTGGCTGCATGGATGTACAAAATTTATTAAGAAGAAAAATGAAGACATGTGAAAAAAATACTGGCGGCTCTTGTTGCTCTACAAAGTTGTTCGCAATGCCACATAGTTGTGCAATATTCATTGCTAACAAATACATGAAACGAATAATTATATATTTGTTTATAAAAAAATTTTTCAATTATCCAATCTTAAAACCAAGTTTTATATATATATTTTTTACTGATTTTTTATTGATAAATAATTTGATAAGTGCGCCTGACATTTGCGCACCTAGAATTTCGAGATTGTAGCTCTCATCAGATCGGCTATGGCCGGTGATTTCAAGGCGAGTTGGAATACATACACAAACAATCCAATAAAAACTGTCAAAACTGGTCGTTCTCTGTATATTTCTACATTCCGCAAATCGGCTTGCGTTAAGTACGTGAAGGATGCATGTGACGTCGATGACAGCCCCGGACGATTTAAAAACGCTTTTCCGTCGATAAAAGAAAATGTTATCACTTACATTTCAATGAAGAATAACATATCCCAAAGTCAAGAAAATCGGAGGGTAACACCGGAAACGGTTTTCTTGTTAGTATCGTCGGTGCGAGTGCCATGTAGATCATTTGCCTATTGTAAAGTATCATTAATCTCTATCGGTTGAAAAGTTTCGTGTATAAGGAGGCAAGTCCCTTGAGATATTTCCAAACAAGCGAGAATTTTCCTTATTGAAGTGTTTACTTAACTTGTCAGCATAGTATTGTAGCTTTCTTAAAAAAGAACACAAGATCAACCTCGTTTTCTCAAATTGAGTCATTGGTTTTGTTCTAGGTATGGACTTCAGAAAATCACTGTTTTTTGTGGATCGGTAGGTATTTTATTATATCAAAATTTACCATCACAGTACCTACCAGGAAGATATAAACGATCAACTGCATAATGCATTTATCATAATTTTCATATAATTCATAATTAATTTGCAGCACTAATTTTCATAAAATGTATATATTACAAAAATAGATTAACACATCATTTAAAGCATCATTTTCAATCGAATTACGAATCACATTTATTTTATTATATCAAACTTTGTTATGGGGTTTAGTTATTGCTGGCAGATTCAACATCTAGAAAGTAGAAATTGTTCGAATTTAACACCGAAATTGTACAGAAACATACCGAATTCATGACTTCCATACCCACAATCACTTTCATGTTACTTTCATGCAAAAAAATTATAAATGGAATGAAACAGTTATTCGTGATTCCTGGTCCCTTTAATACTTTAGCTTATCAACTACACTGTTTTTCATTAATTATAAACGATAAAATCATAGAAACGTAAAAAAGTAGTGAGTAGTTATAAGCCACTTCTGGCCGCCACAACAAACCCCCACCACTGTCCCCTGTGAGTCAACGCCGCTGCTACTGAGTTTCGGGCCTTAGGACCAGACCCGCGTGGTGGGGGAGCAGCAACATGGGTTGGCGGTGGGGAGAGCAGACCACATAGGCGAGGGGGTGACGCCATAGTGCAGCGCGGGGGGTCAGAGCGCTGCGCGCTCCATGACTCACAGGGGACAGTGGTGGGGGTTTGTTGTGGCGGCCAGAAGTGGCTTATAACTACTGTAGTGTCATCCATCAATTTTTAATTTTGAATCTATGGAAAATAATTTTTTTTTTAACATTATTTATAAGTCGAAACGTTTTTCATGCTTTATTGAAATAAAACCTCGGAAAAAAACTGACAGATAACACAAAATAAAGGGAGCAAAACACATAACAAACATTCGCGAATAGGTGTATCTACCCAGATTCCTATTGGTGCAATAAATTTGCATATTTAAAAGTTTATCTGATCGTGCAGGATAACCGCAGTTTCTTGACATTGATTCTCAATGAAAACACATTAGTTGTTTCTCTCAATCATATAAATTGAAAAATACTGTTTTACGAAATATTATAAGGAATACATAAGGGAATGCATTATATTGCAATAAGACTCTCACATTTTAATAAATTTTGCCAAATAATGATATACTTACGTTAGTTGCCCGAATGAAAGAAAATGTTCTAATTGCAATACAATAAGCTAACCATATCAACAAAAAAATACTTATAGCATTGATTAAGTATTTATGGGTCTTTAATAAGCATTTGTTATAACGATGTTTAAAAAAAACAATGATGTTGGAAAAGACAATATACATATAAAGCAGAATTCTTGTCAAAGAAAAAGTACGAATTAGTTAAACGTTTGAATGGATAAGTTTTTACACGTTCGATGAAGTTCTCCCAAAAGAATTTGTCAACGCAATAAAGTACCCAAAGCTGATGATAAAATTTTGTTCTAAATTGGTCACCACGAATAGAAAAATTATGTCTTAATGTTAATATTCAAAATTTTGCCTGGCCAGTTTGTACTCGGCACTGCATACATAAGAAACTGTAAAATTACTGTAAGGCTTCACTTTTGCTGATGAGGTCTTTGACTTAATAATTACATTGATTCTCAAGAAATCAACACATTGTTTTCAATTTAAATATACTTTTTTAAAAAAATAACGTAAATTTTTAATAAGTTTATTTTGAATGATTTACCAATCAGAAAGCTGCACCTATCGCCCCGAATTCGCATCAGCTCACAGTACATTTGAGTGCACATCCGCAGCATCATACGTTTGTATTTCTCTGAAGAATCCTTGTTCTTCGGATATACACATATGTACTAAATTTAGAATGATTTGATCCCTTTATTATATAAGACGCATATCCGCGGTTGGATTAAAACACAAGATGCTTGGTAATTGTACCGCAAGAGATAATAGAAATAATAAAAAATTGAATTAACAAGGAATGACAACAAGTAAATGATCAGTTGCAATTACGTGAGTATATAAGGATCATACAAAAACAGATAATAATGCAACATCAAATAAAATGGAGGACCAACGTCTAAGCCACGTGTAATTATTCTAAAAAGTGAAAATAAAAGTTTCGTAGAGTAGGAGACCTAGTTTATCAGTTAGACACGCTGCATTATCGCGTCAAGTAGCGATGGTTAGCGGTGCGAATAGTAATGCATACACAACTGCTACTCATGTTAAGAGCTAATATTGATTATGTAATATGCACAGTAAAAGGTATATCGCTGTTGGGTTGCTGATATTGCTTGTTTCGATTTGTCGTTTTCCGTCTGACGCAATATTTCCTTTTATTATAATTCTTAAATTAATTAATATTGCATTTTAATATTAATGCCCTGATCTACTGTGGCGTGCAGAATTTCTCATTCATTTCTTATATGATAATAGTTTTATATTATCAATTATACCAAAATATAGATTAATATTTTATAATGAAAGAAAGTCTTTGGTTTTCTCGAATTATAGTGGAAGGATTTTTGCATTAAATAAGTAATTTTGTTCAATTGTAGCCAATAGGAATACAATGCTCTAAAAATTAACGAACGAAGAACGGATCATGCAACTGGCAACACATTATGACTTTTACTCGCGCTTTCCGGCTTTTCTTATATATTTTTACTTTAGATTTCTTAGTCTGTTTTCCTGATCTATTATTGTTCGCTTATGATAAAATAGATATACAGGGTGTCCCAAAATTACCTGACCGAAAATTATTAGAGACCGAATAGGCACAGATACACTGACAAAATGCATAACAGTTCGCCTGATTTACGCCAGAAAGCAGATAAGCAAGAGAACACTAAGCAACAGCAACACTGAATGCTTAAGTTTTGCATCTTAGAACAGTATACAGGGTGTCCCAAAATTACCTGGCCAACGGGGTATGGCGGTGTTCGGGAGGCACCACTGATCACGAAAATGACCTTCCTTTTGTCCGGAAGGTTATAGTTTTTAAATGGGAGCAGGTCAAATTTGATAGAACAGTATACAGGGTGTCCCAAAATTACCTGGCCAACGGGGTATGGCGGTGTTCGGGAGGCACCACTGATCACGAAAATGACCTTCCTTTTGTCCGAGAATTCATAGTTTTTAAATGGGAGCAGGTCAAACTTGACCAATCAGAACGAGGCGTCAAGAGAAACGTAGGTACCTACGAACTCTGAGTTTTCTTCCCTCGCTTTTGTTTCTCGGTGGCTTCGGGCAGGATGACGTCAACCAAAGACATGCCTATTGGAAACAAGAAACAAGATACCGAGAAACAAAAGCGAGGGAAGAAAACTCAGAGTTCGTAGGTACCTACGTTTCTCTTGACGCCTCGTTCTGATTGGTCAAGTTTGACCTGCTCCCATTTAAAAACTATGAATTCTCGGACAAAAGGAAGGTCATTTTCGTGATCAGTGGTGCCTCCCGAACACCGCCATACCCCGTTGGCCAGGTAATTTTGGGACACCCTGTATACTGTTCTAAGATGCAAAACTTAAGCATTCAGTGTTGCTGTTGCTTAGTGTTCTCTTGCTTATCTGCTTTCTGGCGTAAATCAGGCGAACTGTTATGCATTTTGTCAGTGTATCTGTGCCTATTCGGTCTCTAATAATTTTATGATAGATTTAATATATATACGGCCGTACCTTAATTAACTAATTGACTGTGAATTTAATAAAGTTTGTGTACACAAACTTTACCTACAAGAAATGCATTATATATATATATATATATATCTACACTCATAAACATATTGAGAGGTGGTTTCTAGGACCTTTTTTCTGGTGTATTGGCAGGTATGAGAACAGTTAGTGCTTTCCAGCCCGGATCTGAAAAAATTCTATATACAACATATACTTCCAGGGCCACTTGGCGGCACTCGCAACGAATTTTTCCAAAAATTTTGGATAGTAGACACTCGCAGTTGTGATGGGCTGAGAAGTAGTTCGTTAGGTTAGGTTCGATTTTCAATGCCACATGTTCCAAAGCTTAGTTTTTTTTTTTTTTTTTTTAATATATCGGCTTTCCGTTGTGAGTGCCGTATGTCCTAGAAACTGCCCTTCGACATATTTATATATATATATATATATATATATATTGTAACCAAAATGAATTTTCGTTAGTAGGGACGATTCGGGAGGGATGTGGTAAGCGGCTGGCGTAGCTCAGTGGTCAGAGCAGTCCACCGGTAATCGAAAGATCCCGGGTTCGAATTCCGGCCCAGACGCCCCGCATTTTTCCCGGATTGTCCCTTGAAAAATAACCCCTCCACCGGGTTATAATATATATATATATATGAACGTAGATAAAAATGAATATAAGAATATTTCAGGGTAGAAACATAAGAATTTCAATATAAATTATAGAGCTGTGCAGTGATATTATAATTAAAGTAGCACTTACGTCATTTTAATTGAGCAAAAAAGTATCCTAGTGGCATTAGTAAGAAAATGGCTTTGGTCAATAAAAGTGCTATCTACAATGTAGTACCACACTGTGCTCATATCATCTATATTGAAAAGTTATGTTATCGTCCTCTATGTAACATATTGAGGCGCACAGTATTTTAAATTAATAAAATTCTAAAATAATTGTTAATCGTGATTTAAAGCCACATAGAGACGCATACATATATGTATACAGAAATTTACGGAGTCATGTATAAAATTTGATATTATTTTAATCCGCCCCTCATTCTTTTATGCAATCAGTAATTACACTGTGCCACCCTTTTCTTTTTTTTTTTTGACTACGAGAACATTAGTTTTCTGTGAAAATGGAATTGGAATATTATCTTAATAAACCCTTGCCTAAGATTTTACAGATATATCCGCCGAATCCGCTTCTTTAAAAATTCTGACATGGTTCTTTCTCTTCATTTGTGTTTGTTTTAAAACTGTTCTGTTTCATCTTCAAGAG